TTCTTTTGACCTTTCTACAAACACCGACTATATATACGCTTCATTTCCTTTTTCTGTCGGTTTAAACAGAAACCACACCTTTCCACTTGCTACGATTCTGACAAGCATCTTTGCTTTCATACATGCTCATCTGTTAAGAGTACACTTGACCTAGTCTTTCTTTATGATATACTGAATTTGGTTATGGTATCACATACTCACCTTAAATATCTGAATGACGTAAGCATCCCTTGAACTATATAAATAAATAAATATGTCTGCTAACTAATACCCGGCTAGGTGATAAAATATTTTTTAATTATAACCCAGTTTTAGAATATTCAAATGAATGATATTTCACCTATGTTTCGTTAGGGTAGGTTCCGATAAGTGGAACACGTTAACTAATTTTAACTTAGAAAGTGAAACAATATTTTGCGGATTTAAATCGCGTATATTTGTTTTTTCAAACAAACCGACGTTTCGGGCCCTTGACAGATCCCATGGTCACGGTTAACTGAGGTGGTAAAGTCTTCAACCAGTTATGTCTGTATAGTTACAATAGTTATTAATTAATTACCTTATTTTTAAATTTACAAAGAAAACATTCCAATTTACGCTACGTTACACCACACGCAAAATAGGCGCTCTGTCGTCGAGTTGCGGATACCAGCCCGTTGCACCAAGTACCAAGTACGCTACATTAAGTTTTACAAATTATTTTATTGAATGAATTTTTATTAAATTCAATTAATTATTAATTGATAACAGAAATTTGAATAAACCAAAACATATTAATTAGTACTGCAGTCTTATGTCTGTTTGGGATTTTTCATTAGAGGAAATACTGGATCCCAAACTGGTGGTACGGAGAAACCATCTTTCCTGTTGAAATTAGGATGTTTTTTAATTTCAATGGCCTCTCGCAGCATCCTGGGCAGATAACGGACTTCTTTATAAGGACCTGGGGTTTGTCAAATTTCATTGAATGTGTAGGTTTATCCTTGACATGCTCGCAGACTGCAGACTTGTTTACGCGACGGTGTTTGACATCAGCTATATGTTCTTTGACGCGGGTACAAATACTTCGCTTCGTTTGTCCAATATAAGAGAGACCTCACTCACAGTTAAGCTTGTAAACTCCTGCATCCTGTAAGGGGATGTTACATTTCACGGGTCTCAGGAACTGAGAAATTTTCCTCAGGGGCTTGAAATAGGTCTTAATAGATGCACGCCTGAAAACTCTTCCGATCTTGTCTGTAACACTTCTCACATAAGATAAAATGCAGGTCTTCGCTCGACTGCTGGTGGTTTCACACGGGGCCTGCGGCAATGGCGTGGTATCTTCAACTTATTCGCATGTAGGACTTGCTTTGTACGCTGAAGTTTCCCTGCCAGATGATTACTGTCGCAGACATTATGTGCTCTCTGAAACAAAGATTTGCCCACGGTAGCTAACTGGCTAGGATGGTGATGGGAATTACCATTGAGGTACCTATCTGTATGGGTTTTCTTTCGAAATACAGTATGTCCTAAGTACAGTATGGCCTAAGGTATTATTAGGATTTCTTTTAATTAAACATTTAAGAAAGCTAAAATACCACAATTCTCTTGTTCCATAATAAATGCCCCTTTAGGGGCATAGAAAAGTTACACTTTTTTTTTTTTTTTTTTTTTTTTTTTTTTTTTTTTTTAATAATAATAACGCACACACTCAACATGGCCCCGCACTAGGGACACCCTGTGTCGCGGGTGCCATGGACACACACATAGACAACCACAAATTACATCCAAACTCACGAGAGAAATAATTGTAGGCCATACAACTATTTCTTCCGGCCCGGGAATCGAACCTGGGACCTCTGCGTGGCAGTCCGGCATGGTACTTACTTCTTTGCAATTTAAAGCTCTGAGTGGCACTACAACTGCTGTGGACAGACGTGTCGCTTACCACCAGGGGCATGACTTGTTCGTCCTGTCACTTTTTATCATAAAAAAATACATTTTTGTGCTATTATAATATGACAACACAAGAAGCCAATTTAACGAAGTGATGAACATGAAACTTTAATGGCAAAACCAATCAGTTTATGCATACAACAACATGTTGTTTATACCTACGCATCCGCCTCCTGCCTCTCGGGTGTTACCATATTTCAATCGAGGCCGTGGCTCTTCACTAATTTATCATGTGTCATAGGCAAATAAATAAAATATAAATACGTTATTAAACATAGCAAGGAAGCACGTATTTATTTATAAAATAGAATAGACGTTTATTGCAATGCCCTAACATATAGATACAAAAAAAATATTGATGACACTTAGACAAGCAAAATAAAATAAAAATAATTAATACACAAAATAAAAAATACAAAAAAAAAACAAAAAAATAAGATAAGACAAAACAGACAAAAAGCAAAAAATAAAATATAAGGACTACAAATTTTGTACTGTCATTTATGCGCTTGTGGCGTACGCAAAAGGACTTCATTCAGCATAAGCCACAGCCATAATTAACTGTAGCGCAAGTTTCAATGAGCCCTGAGCCTTATTATATACAAATAAAATATTAAAAGAAAGCCATAATGATAACTTTAACTAGAAAACCAGCGTGAAACTCAGACACATAAAGTAAACTAACGGATAACTCACCTATTTAAGTAGAATTTTTGGTTCGAACGAGTTTGTAGTCCTTATTCACGAGATTCCGCGGCGGTGACTAGACGGAAACTGCGCGCCAAAGCCCTGGCAGCCTGATCACTCAGAACGGCTGTGAGCGCATGCGACGTCTGCGAGCAACTACCCTCGTTTGCGTCATTTTTATTAAAGTCATGCGCAGGATGCACACTACACTAACAACGTCACTTTCTAAATACTCGTTCACTACTGACGTAGTACCTAACACTGTTTCCTTATGTGTTAGGTGTTTACGGCAAATCCCGAATCTGTCACTACACTAATGTATAAAATAATATCTTGGTGGGGATTTTTATTAAAGAAATCCCCACCAATATAGTACTTATCGAGTTCTTAGCTTTTTGCGATTGTTACACATAGAAAATTTAAAAAAATTCCGGATTTAAATCGCGTATATTTGTTTTTTCAAACAAACCTTTTTAATAAAGTATTAGTAACACACCAGTGGGTATTTTTAGTGGGGAGTTGTGGAACATACACTCTGATTTCCGGCGGGGGGTACCGACCGTTCACTATCACGATTGAAATTCGTATGACAACCAATCTCAATAGCTTTACGTACTTTCCGCTGTAATGCTTTTCTCTCGCCAGTACGGACAATGAGTGTTCCGTCACTACAGAGCCCCCGATGGTTCGACACCGTGTTGATTAAAAATTCGACTTAATTAAGTGAGTTATCCGTTATTTTACTTAACAATGATAATGGTATTAACATGTTTAGTAATTATTATATACTATTAATAATTACGTCCTATAATTGTTACCATTTACCATATTATTAATATAATAATACATAGATAAATTATGAACATTGATTGGGAAGGAACCGTCTTCCAAAATGGAGGTTCGTATAGTTTGGGAGATAGGGTGATATTTGTATCTGCTTTTGTATCAATAAATATATATCCCATTTCAATTAACAATGATAGATATATCATCATTGTCAACCTATTATACGTTCCGCTGCTGTGCACGGGTCTCCTCTAAGGATACGGTCAGGGCTAAAATCCGCCACGCTGACCCAATGAGGCTTGGGAACACGTTTCCCAAGTGCTGTGAAACTTCGACGTGAAGGTTTCATCATGACGTTTTTCCTTCTCCGAAAAACTCATGATAAATTTCGTATATAAATTCTGACAAAATCAAACATGCGAGCCCGTGCTGGCCCCCTGCATGAGAAGCGGTAAGTCAAACTGCAAGGCTAGCACTGCTTTTTTGTATCGCTGTGTGGGAGTTTCTCATATCGTAGTGTAAGTTATCAAAACATAAATAAGGCAAAATTTCCCCTAAAATAATCTCAGCTCATTGATATTTCTATGTAACAGCAGTAGAGCTCATTGTGAAAAAGTTCATCCAGAGAACTATTACCACCGTACCTACTTCTGCCGCCAAGGGGTAATGTGACTAAAGGTCAAAGTCAAAGAATCATTTATTGCATAGGTAAAATAAATTGACACTTGAAAACGTCACATTTAAGCTACTGCTCGTTCACTACGCTGACCTCCCTGAGAAGAACGAGCAAGAAACTCTAGGGATTGCTCTTTTCAAATAAACTTAAATGCTATGGAATACACTTTGAATCAAATTTGTGTGGATTCTGAAGCCATGTCGTCTTTCCATACATCGTTATCTAACACGTAGTCTTCAATTTTGTAATATGATTTTTCGATCAAAATATTTTTAATGTAGTTTCTAAACTTAGGAAATGATAAACTTAATATATGCTCCGGAATCTTATTGTAAAACGTATACAGTACCCCATAAAAGAGTTCTTTACCTTGTTTAAACGAAATTGTGGTACCATGAGTTTGGACTTGACTCTAAGATTAGTACTATGGATATCTTCATGAACATTGTTGGGTTCCGGTTCAAAGAGCAAAGATGCTAAACCATCCCTATGGGACGTTAAACTACCTATAATTGGTACCATTTACCATATTACTAATATAATAACACATAGATAAATTATGAACATTGATTGGGAAGGAACCGTCTTCCAAAATGGAGGTTCGTATAGTTTGGGAGATAGGGTGATATTTGTATACGTATCTGCTTTTGTATCAATAAATATATATCTCATTTCAATTAACAATGATAGATATATCATCATTGTCAACCTATTATACGTTCCACTGCTGTGCACGGGTCTCCTCTAAGGATACGGTCAGGGCTAAAATCCGCCACGCTGACCCAATGTCTCTGGGTGCCAAATGCAGTGGTGGTGCCTCTCTTTTGCGATTTAAAGCTCTAAATGCAACTGCTACTGGTACACACGACTTGTTCGTCCCGTCACTTGATATACTAAAAAATATTGTCAACAGGTAAGCAGAGCTACCGAACTGGGGAAGTTGGTGACCAGACTACAGCAAGAGAGATCGGAAATGGCGTTCTTCTTATTCACCAACGGCAGCACCTTGCGGTAAGTGAAATGCTTTGAATGTTCTTCTCACAAGTAGGTTTATACAGGATGTCATCATTAATAATAACAATAATAATGCACAGCTAAAAAAAGATGTGATTCAAATGAAAATCAAACACAACAAAAACTGATCGGCAAACCTTTGAGGTAGGATTATTTTATTTTTATTTTTCTTTATTATTATTTTTCATAGGAAATGAAACCATTTTTCCGGATTTTAATCGCGTGTATTTGTTTTTTCAAACAAACTGACGTTTCGTGCCCTTTACAGGTCCCATGGTCACTGTTGACTCGAAAATAATTTCATTGAAAAATAGTTTCATTTCCTATGTGTAACAATCTCGAAAACCTAAGAACTCGATATTATTTTTCATTTAATTTTTCATTCTTTTGACTATATATCCTAGTATCAAATTTACCTATGTAATTTCTGATCTATTTATAGATATTGAATGGCAGACGGTAACGAAATTTGCGCTTACTCACAATGGCTATTGTAAGTTTTATAAATACCCATTTTAAGGTCAATATCATTATCAATATCGTTGTGATTGGAAATTATCGATTAATATTAATCCTTAATTATGCCCTAGACACGGCTTTATTCAGCTAGAACTTAAAGGTATCCAGATTCTCCGAAACAGGTTAATTAATATGTAATAGGTTTTCTTCCCCTTCCCTTAATAAACCTTCATTTATCGACGTACGCCGATAAATGAACCGGTACCTTTTTGAATTGATGTAGGTAAGAAAGACTTTTTTAACATTTTCAAATACAATAAACTTTTTAGAACCATTAATAAAGCTACATTTGAAACAATAAAAGGAAAACAAAACGCTTTCAGCGAATTAAAGCATGTCCGTAACATGTTTTATTAATGACCGTGGAAAATACATAATTTTGTTTGTTTTCCTATTTACGATTGTCGGCAAATTAGACAAACTAAAATGATTATGTTCATATTATTTGCACGAAAATTAATTGCGTTGTTTTTTTAGATTCACTAGATTTACGTCTTTCAAATGTATAGTATAGCACGTTTATGTAACGTCTGTAAACCGATGCGATATCTTATTCCTCCGGTAAAGTCTTTTGAAGAACTTGTGTAAGCCACTGTTCGTATTTTCCGTACACAATAATAATTATTGGAAAATAGGGAGAGTGCTGTACGTGCACTGGCCTCTTGAGAACAGGATGAAGTCAGTGACAACAGTCTCTGACAACCCTGTATACTAGTCGATCTGACTGACTATGCACTCAGAGGTTATAGTGCCCTTCTCGTATACCCTAAGGGTCGATAAAGAGGACTGTTGGGCACGTGAGTTTCGCAACACTGCGACCGGCATTTCCGGCATTAGCCCGGAGAGCTAGTAGAGTACGAGCTGGATATCCTTTGGTCCCTCCAGCCGCTTAGGTTACTGGATACTGGAGAGACGCTTCGGCGTCAGGAGGTGAGCGTGCCTACAGTTCTGCTACCAAAGAGGAGATTTGGTAGTGGACTTTAGAGTCAACTAAGCGGTGGCAACCGTTAGTTGCGCAAAGCGCAACGGGAAGTGAGCGTGCCTACAGGTCTGGTACCTATCTGGAAAATAGGGTACTATACGTGCACCGCGGCAGCTCACCCAAAGCACTAGCTTTTTAACGGTCACTGTAAACAAAACTTACGTAGCCCAGTGGCTGCCGCCGGAACCAACCTTACATTTGCTGCCCCCTTTATTTTCACGATTACTAAAATAGTTCGTTCGGGTTCGGCTCGGTTGTGTGTTTGTCGCTTGCCGTCGCCATCTTTGTCTTGTTCAGGATATCGTCTTCTCAATCGCAGTGGAATTTATTTTCTAATTTTAAGTAAAAAAAATCATTTTTAATAGTTAGGCTCGGCCGCGCTCGCCGACCCCATTGCTGTGCTGCTCGGGGCCATGCCCACCTCTGCAACCCCACACTACACCATCGCACAGGACTCCTCTCACACTGGGAGTGCTTGGGCTACAGTTTCCACGCGGGCCCAAAGCGGTTTGGAAACTTCACACTTACGGATGTGTGTCCAGGTTTCCTCACAATGTTTTACTTCACCGAAAAGCTCACGGTAAATTTTAAATGAAATTTTGCATATAAATTCCTAAAATATCAGATCAGAGGTGCAAGCCAGTATTCTAAACCACGACCCAGTAGGTATAGCCTTGAGGGAAGTTAGGTCAAGCCATTAGGTTACCATAGCTATAATTGTTTAATGATGATAATTATTAATTGAATTGATAGGAAATGAAACTATTTTTTCGGATCTAAATCGCGTATATTTGTTTTTTTTTTCAAACAAACCAACGTTTCGGGATGGTAAAGTCATCAACCAGTTATGTTTAATGTTAATGCAAACCACCCTACTTTTCACATTGTACAGAAATTATTAATTAAATACCTTATTTATTGAGATTTTTTTTAAATAACTACACTAGTTTTGTTTTGATTATGAATACAAAGATCGAACACCCAGAAAAATTTCGTCGACGTGGTAGGACTTAGACCCACGTCCATGCTGCACCGTAGCATTGCTCTAACCATTTGAACCACGGGTTCAGTTGCCTAATATTTATAAATATTTGTTAATTATTTACAGACCGTAAAAAGATTCATATTCACTCGTTCATATATTTATTTGAAGATGTCAGCACTGTTACATGATCAGACAAATAAATTATTTTCATTCTATTCTGTTTTTTATGGTAGGTGGCATTAAGTACTTATAGTGAAAACCAGTGCCATCCCAGAGACGTAAATAAGCTTTATGGTTGTATAATTTTGTTGCTTGTACTTGGGGAGCATTTAACTTTATCAATTTGGTCGTTTTTATTATGCGCAAGTCGTCCTACACGGCATTTCCCGGTCTTCCCAGAAATATCATTTACTTTGTTTACAAGCAATTCCGTACAAGCAAAATAATAAGAAGGTTTCTATCTTTAAAATTTCAAAAATTGAACTCAATCATGGGTAACCTTCTCTCTGCTAGACAAATCAAAGAAGTCTGTTTCGATTGTATTTCAAATTTGGGCTCCTACTTATTTCAGAGTTCATTTATTGTACACTTTACAAAGAAAGAAAAAGTTTGCATAATTTATGCGCTTGGTCACACTAAAGATCGTGCTGTTTCAAGTTTTGCTTTGGTCAGTGCTAACACACAAGAACGAGCTTAAATAGTTGTCACTGGTGCCGCCCACCCTTTCAGCACAGTGTATTTTTAATCAGTTCTTAAGTAAATTAAACAAAAGAAAGCAAGCATCTCTTTAATGTGGTTGCGGTTCGTTATATATAACATATTACATATTTTAGTCGATACAACGCTCCACAGATATAATTAATTTATGGGATACAGACGTTGCACTATTATTATTCTTATCTTCGTCTCATTATATTTTTTTTAAATAATTGGGTTCTTTACCTTTCATTTCTGTATTTTTAATTTCATAGTTATTTTTACTTATTGTCGCTATAATAATATTAATATTTATTTATTTATTCAATATGGTACACAAGTCACGTTTACTTAAAATAAAATTGTCAGTACAACCCTTTGCGACTGCTAACCAATTGTATTACAATTACAGCTCATGCAAAGAAAAAAAAAAATTATTACACACAGTTGATTAAAATAATACGAAAATATAAATAATATGTAATAATAATAATACCGGATGAATTATGAATGAATAACATTATGAAATAAATAAAATACGAAATAATTACGAAAATGTTAAAATTAAGTAAATTTTAAGATCATTAATTACAAATATTTAAAATAGAAATTGCAGATCTTTGCATTGCAGAACTCTTAGAATTGTATAAACTTTGTGAAAATATATCAAAATCTATACTAGTACAGACATCATTGTAGTACCGGCACATCCTGTGTAATGGATTATTATTTAATACATTGTTATTTGATGGTGGTATAGTGAATACCCGAGGGCGACGCATATATCAAGTAGAAACGCTAAAATGCAGCCCATCCAGCAGTCCTACACCTAGAGTTCCATTAACAACTCTACGAAGCATACACAGGTCTGTGTATGCTTCGAAGAGTTGTTAATGGAAATGCCCGACGTTCAGCTAGGCTCTTTAAACCGAATTTCTATAGGCGATCACCATAATCTGGAAGTAACCTCCTGTCTTTCCCTGCAGAACTCTATAACATAGAGTTGTTTATAAATACACCGTCTTAAACTATTTGAGATACAATTAATAAGACCCCGTTTTTTGTTTAGGTCGAATCTGACTCAGCGATTCGCAGCTACTGACAACGCGATTTTCCAAATGGGAGATTTACCGCTGCTGGTCTTCAAGAACAAGTTGAAGCCCATTGACAGCGCAACGTTTCTCAAAGAGCTGCAAGAGTTAAGGTAAGTGGATTGTTGAAGTTTTATTCCAATAGTGGCATCAGAACAACCTTTACATATGGCTAAAGGTTTTTGAAGTCGCGGCCGTTTTAATGAAAGGAGCATTACGAATTGTATCTTCTACGGTGACATCCTTACGCTGATTCATATACTTATTTCACGGATATCATAAGATTGATATTAATTCAACCTTTTGAACACTTTCTCGTATGAGAAAAATGCTGATTTACTGTTTTTATGAATCTAATGATTAGAATTATGTTCGTTTTAACGCCATTGTTACGTTCCGGAAAACACGAATTTATTTTAATTTACTAATCTTTCAAAATATACCTAATGTGATTGTATTAACTACCTTAGAAAAGGGCACCGTGCATATAATAACGTGGTGGACCTCCAGGTTATTAGGGTCTTGACAGATGTCGCAAACAAATAGGATTTGATAGGAAACGAAATATAAAAAAAATAATGATGCCCTGACGTAGTAATCGTTTTGATTTGTTAACTTGTTTCATTTTTTCTTAATTACCTAAGACCTTGAAGAAACTTCCAACGCTTTCTTAAAGATAATATCCAGTCTTCACTGCTACGGTTGGTTTTTTCTTTTATTTTTTTTAAAGCCCTGTACTAGGGAAACCCTGTGTCGCGGGTGCTATGGGCACACACATAGACAACCACAAATTACACCCAAAATCACGAGAGAAATAAATGTAGGTCATACAAATATTTCTCCCTGCCCGGGAATCGAACCTGGTACTCGCGTTGTTAATGTCTTCTCTATCATTTTCTACGCTGTTGAACCTTAGACTCACGAACGCCATGTCTAATCGTACATGTACAGCCTTTCGGAAAGTGAGTAAGCAGTATAAACTGTAAACAGCAACTGCTAAACCATTATTCCGATTTTCTTCAGTTCTGATTCAAAGTAAGATCTATGGATACCGAAAACCGGGCCAATGCAAAACTTCTTGGCAAAAATTTTTTTGCATTGAGTTCCAGAATATTTTTGAAAGCAACAAAACGTATATCTAGAACTAGACGAAGAATCGATGCAATAGTTTTAGAATCCCGAAGGAATGTCCATGAATCAACAGTAGGTTTAAAATTCATATCTTATATTATGTTGTATTAAATAAGACTTTATTTTTGTCGGAATTTTCGTATAGATTCCGAAAAAATTATAGTTGCAACAATTCATCCCAAAGTTTAGATAAAATATAGTCTACCCACCTGTCCCGAATAACGTCAATTTTTAATGTACTTAAATGATTTCCCGAATCCCGAAAACTAAACAAAAAATGTTGTCCCCTTTCTGTCTCTGTTACTATAACACTCTACCTGCTCTTCTGATCACTGCTTATTGCAATTTACTTTTAACAATTTAGAATTAAATCACCTTAAAAGTTTCGTAATTCATTAAAATTGTATGTATTTTTTATTTTTTTAGCTCTATTCTAGCATTTGAAAGATACCATGTTGTATAGTTACAAAATACAAGTTCTTCTAAGTACATATCTTTGTATTTACTCTCTGCTAAGTAAACCAACGCTAATTTGTCAATTATGTAGCAGGATTGAAATGTCAAGCGACTTTTAACTTTAATAAAATGCAAACAGATACTAATGGCGTATCAGACAATTAATCTGAGTTTAGCTCGAGTGCTACGCCTTAGAAAGACTACCCAATAATTTCCTTTAACCGTGATGAAGTGTAATTGTGGTAAATGGAATAGTGGAAAGCACCGTAGGTGTAAACTGGTAATTAAATGCAATTTTTCATGTTCATTAATAATAACAATAATGTGTCAGGCAACTTCATTAATTCTGCCCTTCATATTATAACTAAAGTGATCGACTTTTTTAGCGAAATTGAATAATACCATACGTGGCATCAACGGAACAAGGTCTATAATGCTCTGTAGAGCTAGCACACGCAAACGTTTCACCAGTTTGGGATCCAGTATTTCCTCTAATGAAAAATCCCAAACAGACATAAGACTGCAGTACTAATTAATATGTTTTAGTTTATTCTAATTTCTATTATTAATTAATAATAAATTGAACTTAATATTAATTCATTCAATAAAATAATTTGTAAAATTAATGTAGCTTAAATTGGAATGTTTTCTTCGTAAAATTAAAAATAAGGTATTTGATTAATAACTATTGTAACTATAGTGAAAAAATAGGGTGGTTTGGATCAATATTAGACATAACTGGTTGAAGACTGTACCACCTCAGTCAACCGTGACCATGGGACCTGTAAAGGACCCGAAAAGTCGGTTTGTTTGAAAAAACAAATATACGCAATTTAAATCTGGAAAATAGTTTCATTTCCTATTACATTATGTTACTTATTATTTACCTATTTCTAATTACTCTCATGTATTGAACTGTATTAAAAATGTTCTCCTCACCTTTTTCCAATAATTTATTATATGTATCAATTTTTTTGTTTTTATTATTACTTTTGGTCGCGCTCAATTTTTGCGTTGATAAAATTACTGTGCAGAACTGTCGAAATGTTTTAAAATCAGCTGTAACCTTGCAGTCATGTTTGGCACTGTGTTAATCTTTTGCAGTCAGTGGGGCGCTCGCGATAACATAAAAATGTGACGTCACGGTGCTCGCGATGTTAGCTATTGTGATAAAATTTTTAAATGCCGGTTTATCACTCGAATTTGAGTGCTAAATGTGGATATAATTGCTTTATCGAGGCGGCATCCATTCATTCCATCTACTCACAATACAACGTTTTTTTTTGTTTGCACAACATAACAATGTTTCTTACTCTACAAAAATAAATTGCCGCCCCCGATTACAGACCTAGATTGAATGTAATTGCTATATTAAGGTTACTTGATATGTGATTTCATAGTAAAAATTTAAGTAATATGCCAAAAATTAAATGAGTCATATACCGATCTATTTTTCTTTCGTTATGCATAATTTCCACTTTCACTTAACCCTTTGATATTCAAAATGTCACCTGTCAGATTTTGCAATGT